AAAGAGCTTGTTATTCCCTCCTTTCATGTAGCCACAAGCTGAGCTATTAGAAAGCTGACTCATTCTACTCATGGATAAATGAAGCAGAGAAAAGCTTGACTGTCCAATTGGCAAAAGTGCCCCCAAGGCAAAAGTAATGGTCATGTCAAATAAGGGTTCATCCTTAAGAACAATAATACTCGAATTTGCCCATGTCCTAGATTTGCCCCCTCATTCATTGAATTTAAATCCACATGTCTCATGTGTAAGTCCACTTCAACATCATATCTTGGTGAGTTTATAAAAGCATGTTGAGGCCGCCTTCTAGATGGATGATGCATTGCTCCAAAGAGAGAGAAAACATAAGGAGACTGTCATGCCTCCCCTTTTTTTGTTTTTGTTTTTGTAGTAGTTTATGAAACCTACAAACAAAAAGTAAAAGAAAAATAAACAAAGTCAGAATAATGTTAGAAGTCATCCCATAATTTTGCATGATTTAGTGCTTCAACAACTGCTATATGGATTCACACATTGTTGATTTCGAATCTTTAAGGAGCTTCAGATGAAGCAAAATATCTTTGAACGCCTTGAGATTTCCATAGACTTCGAGGGCTATAGAAAAAAACACTTACAAGCAGTTTAACATGCATTACAAAGATCATTCATTACAAAGCAAAAGCCTAGTACATCACACTAAGTACCTCAACATGGTAGCATTCAAGTCTCTAGTAAAATCTGACTCCTAGATCTTTCAAAGTACAATTGTCTAATGAGAAGTTCCATTCTTTTCCTTGATGAATCCCTTGATTTCTGGAGCAACATAAAGTGTGATGTGGTTGAGCTTTTGATCTTCAAGGCTGGTCTTGGTTCTTGTCCTTCTAAACTTGCCCCCTAGACTTGCCAATTGTCCATGATGGAGAAAATGCTTGCAATTGAAGATCTCCTGAATCCTTTGTTGGTCAAAGCTTTCTCCATGGATGAATATTTCAATGGTGTCTTGACTGATGAAGAATCACACTTGACCATGTATGAATCCATATCTCAATTGTTGAAGGCAGAGAATCAAACAAAATTATGGGAGTGCAAGAAAAGAAATAAACATGGATGCCAAACAATAGATAAAGGATGAAGGAACATGAATATGCTCTAAAGTGATAATGTGTGTGGAGTTGTATCCTAAAGCATGCGTTTTTGGGAATGCAAGAAAAGAAATAAACATGGATGGGAAATGAGTGATAAAGGATGCAAGAATATAAATATGCTGACAAGTGGTAAGGTGTGTGAAATTGTATCCTAAAACATGAATTTTTCTTCATTAAGTATGCCAAGCAAGTTCCAAAGGAAAAGTTGATGATTCACTATTGCAACCCATTAAATTGGCATTCATGGGAAATATCATTCCTTTGAAAAGAAAGCAAATGCCTTGAAGCTTAAAGAAAAAGCGAATGGTGTGATACTTGGAGAAAATGGATGATGTGATGCTCCAAAATCATGTGCTCAAATTATTTTGATGTCTAGAAGATGGATTTTTCATGAAGTTATCTTTGAAGAACCTCT